GTGAGATTGGGCGGTAGTGTGCGCATGTATCAGTAGTTTTGCCTGGTTTAGGGAGCGTAATAATGGTGGCTTCCAACATTTCCGGGGGTATCTCCCCCGACTCTAAAATGTGGTTGAATAGGGCCGTGAGATGGGGGAGTAGCTGGTCCTCAAAAACCCTGTAGTAGTGGGTTGAGAAGCCGTCTGGGCCTGGGGCTTTGTGTCTGGGCGTATCGTGTAGAGCCTTTGATACTTCAGATGCTTCAATTGGGTTGGTCAGTGCAGCCGCCTGTTCGTCGGAAAGTCGAGGGAGAGTCACTCCGTCTAGGAAGGAAGTAATATTTTGGGGACTGGGTTGGTGTTGGTTGGTGTCCCCAGACAGGTTATATAGCCCTGCGTAAAATTGGGCAAACTTGTCTACTATCGCTTTGGGGTTTCTAATCTTGGTGCCCGTGTCGTCCTTAATATATGGGATCTTTACCTGCGAGGTGCGTTCCCTGAGTTGGGAGGCTAATATTTTGCCCGCTCTGTTACCCTGTCTATAGTAGTTGGTTTTCATTTTGCAAATTGCCCGTTCCACTTGCTGCATCTGTAGTGCTTCTATAGTGGCCCTTAACTTCTGTACCTCCTGCCTGTTGGAGTGTGTGGGGGAGGTCTTGTGTCGTGTTTCTGCTTGTTTTAAGTCGGTCAGTAGGGTCTTACTTTTTTCTGTCAGTTGGCGCTTCAGTTTTGCCCCTTGTCGTATTAGCAGACCGCGCATTACTGCCTTATGGGCAAGCCATGTCATTGCGACATTCGTGTCGGTGTAGTGGTTATCTACAAAGTAGTGCGCCAAGGCACTCCTTATCTCGGCCGCCCTGTCCACATTGTCTATCAGTGATTCGTTTAGTCTCCACTGTCCCCGACCCCGGACCGGGTGGAGCGTGGTAAAGACTGAAGTGAGGGGGGCATGGTCTGACCAAGTCAAGGGGGCAATCGATACCTCCTCCAGGGTATCTAGCGTTTTCACATCCACTAAACACATGTCTATCCGGGAGTATCTATCATGTACCTTGGAGTAGAACGTGTAGTCTTTAGATGCTGGGTATAGCGAACGCCATGTATCGTGTAGGCCGTGTGAGTTGAGGAGTGCTGTCACTTTCAACCCTAGCTGTGTTGATCGCAAGTGGGAACAGGGTTTGCCGGTCCTATCTAGAGCTGGGTCCAGTACGCAGTTAAAGTCTCCACATATAAGCGTCTGCCCTTTCTTCTTCTTGTCTACTTGTTGTAAAGCTTTCCTAAGGAAGTCATACTGGTTGGTGTTGGGGGCGTAGAGGTTGACTACTGTCACCTGGACGTCATTTAAGAGTCCTACTAGTATTAGAAGCCGGCCATCGGGGCTTTTGTATTCTACTTCACATTTAAATTGCCAATCAGAGTGGAAGAGAATGCTAACACCTCGTGTCTTATTCGGTGCCGTGGCATGGTAAGCTTGTGGATAAGATGTGGACGAGAATTTTGGTGGGTTTTTAATTGAGAAGTGAGTTTCTTGTATGCATGCTACAGAGGCGTGTAGAGTGCGTAATTGGGAGAACGCCAGCCTGCGTTTTTGTGGTGTGTTCAGCCCATGGGCATTTAGAGACACCAGGCGGAATTTATTGGCGGAGGTCATTTTAACTAGTTGGGGTGGCCCTAGGGCCCGGTAGTTTGGGTGTAGTGTTTTCCCTTGCCACTACATGACAGAGGTGGTTGGGTGAGGCTATTTTTTCCCCTCGTCGTACCCAGTAGTGAAGGGGGAGCATCTCGGGAAGGGGGTTAGGGCAGGGGGAACAACCTGGAACATAACCTAAGAGACAAAACCATAAAACAGAAATAAAGTATATACATTTCAAACAGCTATTAAGCATTATGTGAGGGACCCTGCTGCCGAGCTCGCACCCTCTACTGCACTGAGAGGGGGTCGCAACGGCAGGCGGTGTCCCGCAGGTGTATCGGGGGGGCGTCTGATATTTGGTGAGGCCTGTACCTCTTTCAGAGCCCGGCTCTCTCGAAAAAGTAGGCGGTGGGGGGGGAGATATGGGTGCTTGGCTGAGCCGTTGGCTGTCCTGTATAGATCCGTGAGTGGGGGGGGTGAGAGGTGAGCACAGTCTCTGCGCCTTTCAGTTTTTCGGCCTTTGTCCGGCCATGCTGGGTTCAGATTTTAGTGGGCAGTCTCTGCAAGGGTCTGAGCAGCGAGTCTGACTGCTTAGGGGTAAGTCTCGCAGTGACAGGGTGGGCCAAATTGCGCTGTGGTGTGGCAGTCACTTTTTCTCTTGTGTTGGGTTAGGGGGTAGGTGGGGAGGGGGGGTGAGGGCGATCAAGAGTACTCACGTGGGTGCTGAATGTCCTTCAAGCTATGCCATTCCCAGATGAGTGGGGTGGTCACCATGGGGGGGGGTCACACGGGTCTCTAACCGAGTCGTGTTGTAGCCGGCACCCCCTTCTGGGTGGCGGTAGTGTTCTTTAGGCTTTGGACCAGTCCGCGGTCATCTTCTTTAGGGAGGTTTGGGTGTGTGGTGCTTTGCCGTCTGGGAACAAGCCCCAGGTCTTGAGCTTGTCCATCCCCAGCGCCGGATCTTCGATCTTTATTAGGGAGCCGTTCCGCCAGAGAAGGAGTTTTGTAGGAAATCCCCACCTGTACGGTATTTTGTTGTTTCTGAGGCATTTCGTAATGTTAATGAATTCCCTTCTTCTGGCCATTGTCGTCGGTGAGAGGTCAGCGAATAGGGAGATATTTTCATAGGTTGGCGGCATCGCTGAGGCCTTCCTTTGCGCCGCGAGTATGGCTTCTTTCGCAGAGTAGTAGTGCAGTCTGGTCACGATGTCTCTTGGCACTTCTTGTGCAAGGTTTTGAGGTTTTGGCACTCGGTGCGCCCGGTCCAGGCGGAGGTCCGCCAGTTCTAGGTTTGGTTGGATCGCTTGGAAGAGTCGCAGTAGGTAGGCCGGCAGCTCTTCTTGTGTCACTGTTTCTGGTACCCCGCGCACGCGGATATTGTTGCGGCGGGAGCGATCCTCCAAATCTGCCAGTTTTTCCATAAGGCGTTTGTTATCAGCGTCCATTCTTTGTATTTTCTCCACCATGGTGTCATTCATGTGGCAGAGCTCGTCAGTCTTTTCTTCTAGTGCATTAACGCGTGTCCCCACTTCATGGATGTCTTTGCGCATTTCAGAGACCGCAGCTTGGAAGTCAGTCTTCATAGAGGTGCGTAGGTCCTGCAGCATTGCCGCCAGGCGCTTTTCCGACACAGACAGATCTTCAGCGGTTGCTTGCCTCATATCTGAGTCTGATCCTGCGTCTGAGGTGTGAGTGGGTGAGCGGGAGCCGCCGCCATCTTGCTCCATGCGCTGCTTCCCTCCCTTACCCTGCCGGAAGAAATCCGATGCCCTTTGGGACTTCGGGGGTGCCATCCTTAAGGTAGGAGGTTCCCCTGTTGTTGGGCACCCTGGTAGGGTCGTTCCGGGCTCTTTCGCCACTTTTCTGCCGCTTTTAGGCCGTGCCGATCACGGAGCTGCGGTTACATGCGACCGCTCCGTCCGACCGGAAGTCCCGCCCCCGCAGGGACTAGCTTTTTGCATTCGGATTATAAAAATTGAAATAGGAAACAATTGGCCTTTGTTTCCTAGGTTTAGGGATCTTTCGTTTTTTGTTTCATTTACATTATCTTTCGACATTATTAGGAATACTATATTAGATATTTAGTAGTTTATCTCTGTATTACATATCAGTATTTTTAACGTTAGAGTATAGCGACATCTGGTGGCTGCTTGTATATAACAGCTCCTGGATAATGTTACTTGACATGTGAATCCATAATATTCCACCTATAATCCCTATATATAAAATAATTATACCATATTCTTTACAGAAACCAGTCAAATACGTTCCTTGGCATGTATATCCATATTAATTCACCCATACATTTATACTAACACCTAGTAATAGAGCTGAGCATTGCAGCAAATCATTCCATCATCCCAATATTCTGTTTAGTATAATTAAAGTGCCACACTTAAATCATTTCAAAGGGTAAATAAAAATACATAACTCCATGGCATTTGTAATCAGTGAAATTTCACATATGTAGAATATACTATAGATTAGAAAATTAACATGGCTGCTTGCAGGCTCGGGCATTCTTTCTGTATTGTACTGTGCTGTGGAATTTGTTAGCGATTTATAAATAACAATAATACTAATAATAATACTTGCATACTTGCCAACTGTTCCGTTTTTGCTGGGACAGTCCTGGCAAGTTGGAGACTGTCCCGGGTAATTCACTCTCCAGGGACAGTTCCGGCAAGTGCACTTTTCAGCCAGGGCTGGTGAGTCCATAAGGCGGCAAAAAGGTTAGCGTGACCAGCAGGAAAGAAGCGCATAGCGCTCCCTCCTACCAGTCACTCCGTTTAGCGTGGCCAAGCAGAATGGATCACGGTGTACAGGAGCATCTGTTTCCTGTACCTGGCCAGACTTACAGGAAGTGCAAACTGAGAGAGCACTTTCTGTCAGTCCGGCCAGGTACAGGAAACAGAAGCTCCTGTGCACCGCGGTCCGCTCCGCTCCGCTCGGCCATGATACATAGGGAGGTACGAGGCACACCAGGGAGAGGGGATAGCACTAAGGGGATAGGGAGAGAGGAACACTAAGGGGATGGGGAGAGAGAGGAACACTAAGGGGGTGGGGAGAGAGAGGAACAATAAGGGGGGGTCGAGGTATACTAAGGGACAGTGAAGGAAGGAGAGAGGACCACTAAGGGAAAAGGAAGGGGGAGAGGAGAGACCACTAAGAGACAGGGAAGTGAGGGGAGAGCAGAGAGAACTAAGGGACAGTGGGGAGAGTGTAGATACTACTAAGGGATGGTGGGGTTGGGATAAGCACTAAGAGATAGGGAAGCAGGTGAGAGAAAATTAAATCACAACCCATGTCTTTAAGTTATATACAAGGTAGTTCTAACATTTATGGGACAGTGCCACTTTAAGGCTAACAGTGCATCACGGGAGATGTAGTTCATTTCTGCCCTTTGTCGTCACATGATTCGCCTCCTAATCAGTCCTGCTCAGTGAGTACAACAAAATATAGATATTTTCTGATATGAGGATTCCTACTTGTGTAAATTATTCTATCGCCAGTCTCCAAGGATTGTATAATAGCCCACCCAAGAATTAACATATATACGCACTGTGACATCATCGGATGTAGAAGTGTTTCCGGGTTATGGAGGCATGTCAAAATACAAACCGGTGGATGTCCAAGGTGAGTCCTAGTCTTGCAGATCTTTATTATAACTCTATGGGAACTGTGCTTGTTTACTGCATGAATGCCATCTAATACTGGTGTGTCTGTTAGGGAAATGTAAACCCCCCCTGGAGTAAACCATAAACACGTGTCTGGTGCTGCTATAGGACATAACATGTGTGCCATTAGTACTCCGTGCCTTCTCCCTTTTGGAGGACCGTTATTAAAATGTATAGTAATGTTGTTATTATTAATGCTTTTATTGTGGTTTCTATTATGTATGTCCCTGCGTGTGGTTTGATTGTGGAATGGGAGTAAATAACCAAGTGGGCAATCTCACCTGTGAAACTGCAGAAAAAAAACTTAAAAAATATATTTTAAAGTGTAAATCTTAATGGAAGTAAAACTTTAAGCCACTGAAAAGTTTCTCAATTAGTTGCTCCCTTCCAATGGAAGTTGTAGTCTTTTTAAAGCAGTGGTAGGAGGTAAGTCATCCTGGAGTTACCTAGCACCCTTCACATTTTGAATGGTATTGGTGCTTATTAATTTAGGACCATACTCACTATTGCCAAACTTCAGTTTCTTTGTTCTTTTTTTACTGTACTGTGGTGGCATCTGTCGTGTGTTAACTCCTTTTAATGGACAGGAAAATGCTTTCCATATCTCTGAACATGTACAGGGTTATTTACTAAAGTGAGAATTTCACAGAGGGAAATAAACATATAAGTTTAAAACAAAGTGCTGACCTGAAAACATTTTCTAAGTAACGCATGTTCTCAGTTCAGCTAATCTGGCCTTTAATGTGAAATTGACTTTGAATTCTCACTTTAGTAAATAGCCCTGATAATCTTTATTATTTTTCCCCTGTGTAAACTGGTTCAGAGGTTTGGTACTCAATGTAATTTTTGATTTGTTTAACATTGTTTACTATCCATCTTTGCTTTGTTTTTTATTTTATTTAAATGTAAAATATGCTGGATTTTCTTTGTTGCCTCTTTTTCCTTTCTGCTTAACTCAGTTTGTGTTTGGAATGTATGCTTGCCCCAGTATATTGTGACTTTTTAGGATTCACTTCAATTATAAATTATTAGTATTTAATTATAAGCAAGTATAAATTTCATTTTAATTATAGGAAAACCATAAGTAATGCCGCTTCACAAGTACCCACCCGCTATTTGGAATACTCTTAAGCTGAAGGAAGGTATTTATGCTCGTCTGCCTGCACATTATCTTCGCTCACTGCAAGAAACCAGGAAACCTACACCTGTGCACTGGAAACCCCATGGACAGAAATACAGGCTGAACCCAAAGTCGGGGCTGAGGGAGCGTGTTCAAGATGTACCAGTAATTCCATATTTCCCTCCAGAAGCCAACGATGGTCTGTGGGGTGGAGAAGGATGGGTCTCTGGATATCGATATGCAAATAATGATAAGGTAATCAACAGTGAAGAAATGTATCAATATTTTGTGGCAATATGTCTTCTAGCACTTACATTAAAAGAGGGCTCTAAGCCAGGGCTGTTTGAAGGAAAATGGACATGGAGGTCGCCCCAAGCAAAATGGACTTGGAGTCCCCCCTCCCGGTGTCCTTTTTACTCCCTCCCGGTGTCCTTTTTACTCCCTCCCGGTGTCCTTTTTACTCCCTCCCGGTGTCCTTTTTACTCCCTCCCGGTGTCCTTTTTACTCCCTCCCGGTGTCCTTTTTCCTCCCTCCCGGTGTCCTTTTTACTCCCTCCCGGTGTCCTTTTTACTCCCTCCCGGTGTCCTTTTTACTCCCTCCCGGTGTCCTTTTTACTCCCTCCCGGTGTCCTTTTTACTCCCTCCCGGTGTCCTTTTTACTCCCTCCCGGTGTCCTTTTTACTCCCTCCCGGTGTCCTTTTTACTCCCTCCCGGTGTCCTTTTTACTCCCTCCCGGTGTCCTTTTTACTCCCTCCCGGTGTCCTTTTTACTCCCTCCCGGTGTCCTTCTTACTCCCTCCCGGTGTCCTTTTTACTCCCTCCCGGTGTCCTTTTTACTCCCTCCCGGTGTCCTTTTTACTCCCTCCCGGTGTCCTTTTTACTCCCTCCCGGTGTCCTTCTTACTCCCTCCCGGTGTCCTTCTTACTCCTCCCGGGTATGCGCTTCGCCTCCTCCCGGTGTCCCTTCTTACTCCTCCCCGTTCGTCCTTCGCCGCCTCCCCGGTGTCCTTCTTGCTCCTGGGTGTCCCTTCGCCTCCTCCCCGGTGTCCTTCTTACTCCGCCACTCTGTCCTTCTTACTCCTCCCTCCCGTCCACTGCCCCACTCCCCCCTCCCGGTGTGTGCCACTCCTCCCCGGTGTCCTTTGCTCCCCTCCCCGGTGTCACCTTCTTACTCCCCCCCTCCCGTGTCCCTTCTTACTCCCTCCCGGTGTCCTTCTCCTCCCCCCTCCCCGTGTCCTTCTTGTCCCCCCCTCCCCGGTGTCCTTCTTACTCCCCTCCCCCTGTCATGCTTCTCCCCCCTCCCAGGTGTCCACTCCCCCTCTCCCCCTGGTGTCCTTCGCCTCCACCTCCCCATTCGGCTTCTTACTCCCCCCTCCCCGGTGTCCTTCGCGCCCCCCCCTCCCCATTCGCTTCTTACTCCACCCCTCCCCGTTGTCCTTCTTACTCCCCCCTCCCGGTGTCCTTCTTACTCCCTCCCGGTGTCCTTCTTGCTCCCCCCTCCCCCCCCGTGTCCTTCTTACTCCCCCGTGTCCTTCTTATTGGCTGGCTGACTTGACTTACTGACTTGGCTGAGGTCATCCATAATGATGATCTCAGCCAGGGGCGGAATGGCGCCTGTATGAAGACGGTTACATCAGCAGTCACTCAGATGGCCACTAGAGGTGCTTCCTAGTCCTGCTAGTGTTCAGTGTCCCCATGCACTGCATGCAGGTGCTTAACGTTCCCCAAAGAGGTGCATTAATTCAATGCATCTCTATGAGGAGATGCTGATTGGCATACCTTTTTTCCCACCTATGCACAATAGGCTCCCAATGTTTTCCTATTGATGATCTCAGCCATGGAGCTGCCGCGGCGATGGGAAAAAAGGTAAGTTAAAATCCTTTTATCTCTACAGAGAGGGAGACCGGAAAGCTAAACCTCTAAACATGTAGTCCAGTACAATAGTCGTTTTCTATATCTGCACTTTTTTGTAAAATGGAAAAAAAGAGGACAAATGTCACACATAAGGCACTGTCATTTTAATATGGTTCATGCTGGTAGCTTTACATATAAAAGTATGCTCAAGAATTATTTTACACAAGGATTACACTAAAAAAAGCTCAATCAAAGGCAAAGCTGTGCAACCAAACGTCACATTTATTTATATGGCAATCTGTTATAGTTATATTAATATTTTGGCATACTTGCTTATAACTGAAAAATATTGTTCTTTATTACACAAAGTTTGTTTGTTAGTTAATATTAATTCTGTATACCTTTTTTATGTGTCCCAAATTTGTAGTTGTCGGCAAGGGTAAAGAAGATTTGGAAACCTCAGCTCTTCAAAAGAGATCTCTACAGTGAAATATTGGACAAAACGTTTACTATCCCTGTCACAATGAGAACGCTGGACCTTATTGATGCTGCCTACGGATTTGATTTTTATATCCTCAAGGCAAGTGCCTATTTACTATGTATGCTGTTTGTTTTGCTTACTAGCCCCTTCCTCTGAGTGTCACATATATTCCTTTTGTGACCCAGAAATGATTTTTGGAGAGTAACACATTTATTTACCATGGCTCCATTATGTCCCTCTGAATATCTGCAAATAGGTTGAAAATAACAGGCTTGTCCCTTCTCAGATGCAGTAACATACACATTCTAATAGATTAATATATAGATTAAAGGGGCAATAGACAACAAAACAACCTTAGCTTAATGAAGCAGTTTTGGTGTATAGATCGTGCCACTGCTCAATTCACTGACGTTTAGGTTTAGATTTAGTTAAATCACTTTGTTTATGCAGCCCTAGCCCTACCCTGTGACTTGCACAACCTTCCTAAATACTTCCTGTAAAGAGTCATCTAATGTTTACACTTCCTTTATTGCAAATTCTATTAAATTTTGAATTTCATATCTCCTGCTCTGTTAATACCTTGGTAGACAACACTGTAGACTCCTGTATGTAATTAAAGTTCAATTTACAGAGCAGGATATACAAACTTTTTAAAGTAAGTTACATCTGAATGAAAATTAAACCATTTTGTTTTCATGCACTCTGTCTCAGTCACAGCCATAGGAGGTGTGGCTAGGGCCGCATAAACAGAAACCATGGTGATTTAACTCCTAAATAGCAATGAATTGAGCAGTGGAACTTCATAGGCATGATTTATACACAAAAACTGCTTCATGAAGCTAAATTTGTTTTGATGACTATAGTGTCCCTTTAATGCAGCTGCCACCATACTTTCAGCTCAGGAAAGGGCCAATGTTGGTAGGTACACATACCAGCTATCAGCTGTCATCAGAATCCAGCTCTAGGAATTGTCCCTGCAGCATCCATTTATGTCCACACGGATCCTAAATGTAATTCAGGGCTTCTTATAGAAGCACTGCAACTCTGAACATATGTGCAATTATTGAAAGTCTTTTCAAGGAAGTACCTCTAGTTACTGTCTAATTGACAGCAACTAATGTAAACTATGCTGTTCCACACATTTGGTTAATTCTTACACTTGTTGGACGGCAGGGACTGTAAATCAAAATCACTACATTAAAAAGTAGTGGTTTTGGTGCTTTGTATCAATTTTAAGGATCATATAGTACATTTATTGAAAATAATGCTGTACATTTATGTAGTATAAATAATAATAAAAAGTAAATGGCTTTGTTACCATGTGAACTGAATGGAGAACTTTAGTGCCAGGACTACTAACATGTATTCCTTACCCTGTAGTCCTGAAGTGTATGTTTAGGTGACCCGCCCCCCCTCAGTATAAAGGTGATTTTAATCCCCTTTTGTCCCACATTTCACCGTTCTTTCCGTGACTGGCTCCGCCTCCATGGTTGAGATCATCAGTGTTGATAATCTCAGCCAACCCAATGCTTTCCCCTTGGAAAGCATTGGGAGGCTTTTGCGCATGCGCTACAAACAGTATATCAGCATTTCCTCATTGATCTGCATTGAATCAATGCATCTCTATGGAGAATGTTCAGAGACTCATTGTGGAGCATGGATACGAACGCCAGTGCTGCACACTGTGCAGCACTGAACTTGGGAGCACCTTAGGTGGCCGTCTGAGAGACTGCCACTAGAGGTCTCTGAAAAGGCAGCTTTTCCATGCTCATGCTATAGCCACAAGACCAACACTACATTACCATGTAGTGGTTCTGGTGACTATAGTGTCTCTTTAAGGATAAGCCAATGTATTCTCTGAGTGCTCTTTGTCCTTAGAATTTCTTGTTGAAATAAAGGCTTCTATAATTTTAAAAGCCAAATGGAACAATGAAAAGAAAACACACAAGTACCCAACACAAAACAATCAAACATAACTGTTATTTATTAGATTAAATATGTGCAAAAGTAACCAAAGTAGAAGTGCATAAAATAGTGATATCAGCTATCGAGAGAGCTAAATAGGAAAAACAAATATATGTATAAGATGTCCGATAGGGATAAGTAATAGAAAATTCATTCGCAGGCCTTTTCCATCTCACTAACCTTTTGTGTTATTAAAACTCCATATGTGTCAGTCTGTACCAGTGGAGTACACATGACCCATGGGGTCCCGATGCAAAAATTGATCCGAGAGCCCCCCCGCGCTTACTCTTCGCACTCCGGGGCCGCAACACAGGGCTGCGACCGCGGTATGTACGCTAGTATCACATAAGCTCAATGAAGTGGTCTGGATGCCAGGTCCCTCTAGTTTTAACCCTGCAGCTGAAAACATAGCTGTCTCACTGAAAGCTGCTAGAGGCGCTTCAGCAATTCTCACTGTGAAAATCACAGTGAGAAGTTGCTGGACGTCCATAGTAATGCTTTCCTATGGGCGGTTTGAATGCGCGGGCGGCTCTTGCCGCGGATGTGCATTCAGAGCTGAGACGCCGATTGGGGCGGAGGGATCACCAACGCCATGGGAGTCCGGCGCTGGAGAAAGATAAGTGCTGAAGGGGTTTTACACACACACACACACACACTCTCACGAACAGACGCGTACACACTAGCTAACAGACACAAACATTTACTGACAGAGACACTCAGCGACATACATACTCACGGACACACACTTACAAAACACACTCTCACTAACACACACACAGTAACACACTCACTGACACACACTCAGTGACACACAAACTAACACACACACTGACACTCACTAGCAGATACACACACACTCACACACACATGTTTTTTTTTACATTTAATCCCACAGCCTCCTTACCTTTGGAATAGCTGAGGGGATTCCCTGGGGTCCAGTGGTGCTGCTGGGCGGCGGGTTACCGGGCGGGCTGGCTGGTGGGAGCACTCTCCCCTGAGCACTCTCTGACCAGCTCCCTCGCGCGCCGCGTACTGATGCCGGAGCCAGAATATGACGTCATGCTCCGGCATCAGTGCGATGTGCCCGAGGGAGCTGGGCAGAGAGCGCTCAGGGGAGAGTGCTCCTTCGCGTGCCTGCCCGGTGACACCAGGGCCAGCCTCGACCCCTGCGACCCCGGTGTGTACGCCACTGGTCTGTACAGTATTTTTTTAAATGAAGCTGTGTGCGCACCCACCCCTTCAAAATAAATATATATATATATATATATATATATATATATATATATAATTTTTATTTATTTATTTATTTTTTTTAAATAAATGTACATTTTATTTATAATTTTTTTATTTTAGACTCCAAAGGAGGATTTGAATTCAAAATTAGGTATGGAGTTAAAAAGAGCAATGCTTTTACGTCTTGCAACAAGAGACCCAAGTCTGCACCCAAATGATTCAGCAAAAAGAGAAAACATCTACAGCAAATACAAGGTTCGAAATTTTCTATGAAAATATTAGTGTTATTGTGACGAGTTCTCTTACTATGCTATGAAGGTACAGTGAGGGGGAAAAAGTATTTGATCCCCTGCTAATTTTGAACGTTTGCCCACTGACAAAGAAATGATCAGTCTATAATTTTAATGGTAGGTGTATTTTAACAGTGAGAGACAAAAAAAAACAGATAAACGCATACATTGATTTGCATGTCAATGAGTGAAATAAGTATTTGACCCCTTCGTACTTGATGGCAAAACCCTTGTTGGCAATCACAGAGGTCAGACTTTTCTTGTAGTTGGCCACCAGGTTTGCACACATCTCAGGAGGGATTTTGCAGATCCTCTCCAAGTCATTAAGGTTTCGAGGCTGACATTTGGCAACTCGAACCTTCTGCTCCCTCCAGAGTTTCTATGGGATTAAGATCTGGAGACTGGCTAGGCCACTGCAGGACCTTAATGTAATTCTTTTTGAGCCACTCCTTTGTTGCCTTGGCTGTGTGTTTTGGGTCATTGTCATGCTGGATTACCCATCCACGACCCATTTTCAATGCCCTGGCTGAGGGAAGGAGGTTCTCACCCAAGATTTGAAGGTACATGTCTCGTCCATCGTCACTAGGATGCGGTGCAGTTGTCCTGTCCTCTTAGCAGAAAAACACCCCTAAAGCATAATGTTTCCACCTCCACATTTGACAGTGGGGATGGTGTTTATAGGGTCATAGGCAGCATTGCTCCTCCTCCAAACACAGCGAGTTGAGTTGATACAAAAGAGCTCGATTTTGGCCTCTTCTGACCACAACACTTTCAACCAGTTCTCCTCTGAATAATTCAGATGTTCATTGTCAAACTTTTTTGGGGCCTATACATGTGCTTTCTTGAGCAGGGGAATCTTGTGGGCGCTGCAGGATTTCAGATCTTTACTGCATAGTGCGTTACCAATTGTTTTCATTGTAAAAATGTTCCAGCTGCCTTGAGATCATTAACAAGGTCCTCCTGTGTAGTTCTGGGCTGATTCCTCACCTTTCTCATGATCATTAAAACACCATGAGGTGAGATCTTGCATGGAGCACTAGACCGAGGAAGACTGACCGTTAATTTGTGTTTCTTCCCTTTGCGAATAATTGCACGAACTGTTGTCACCTCACTGTTTGGCGTTGGTCTTGTAGCCTATTCCAGCCTTGTGTAGGTCTACAATCTTGTCACTGACATCCTTAGACAGCTCTTTGGTCTTGGCCATGGCGGAGAGTTTGGAATCTGATTGCTTCTGTGGACAGGTGTATTTTATACAGGTAACGAGCTGAGATTAGGATCACTCCCTTTAAGAGAGTGCTCCTAATCTCAGCTCATTACCTGTATAAAAGACATTTGGGAGCCAGAAATCTTGCTGATTGATCAAATACTTATTTCACTCATTGACATGCATTTTTCTGGATTTCTTTTTTTGTTATTCTGTCTCCCATTGTTAAAATACACCTACCATTACAATATTGACTGATTTCTTTTTAGGTGACAAACGTTCCAAATCAGTAGGGGATCAAATACTTTTTTTCCCTCAGAGTGGATGCTTTATGAAACCAATATTCTTTAAGGGACGCTAAATACCACCGTAACTTTGCATTATTGGAATGCTGATGAAACATAGAGGAACCTGACCCCCCTGAGATTTCATCTAAAAAAGTGTTGAGGAACAATATTTTTTTAGGGTGAAGGTTATGATGGTATATGTGTTTCTACAATTCTGATAGGCTACACAAAGCCTATAGTTTTCTTAGATGTAGTGAGAATAACCGTTTTTGATTAATTTATTCCTTTACTGTGTTATTGCATTTACTGTTGTTTTTAGTAATATATTGCTGCCAATTGCAAACTGTTTTGAAATGACTTCTTGCTGTCTATCAGCCAGTTTTCTATAAGTGCTATCTTATGAACACTGCTAGTTTTAAAGGAACCCTCCAAGCACCATAATCACAACAGTTTATCAACTTACTTGAGGTCAGCTAGGTGCTACTCGTCTCCCCATTTAATATTGATATCTATATGTTTACATTTTTCTCTTTTACTTTCCTTGTTTACATTCCCACTTTCTAAGATGTCATACTTTTATTTAATTGTTCCTTTTAGCTTGAAACCACTGTAAGTACATAGTGAGTGGTTTCTTCTCTGTCTTAACTTGCTGTAGCAAATTTGTTGCAGTTTTTATCAGTTGAGCATTTTAAGAGGGAACTGCTTTGCAACAGTGTTTTTCTTAGCTACATGTGCACTAGGACCAACATCTACCAATAAAACATAATTACTTGGAGCTGAAATTGCAATCTTAAAGGAACACTATAGTCACCAGAATGACTACAGCTTAATGTAGTTGTTCTGGTGAGTATAATCATTGCCTTCAGGCATTTTCATGCAAACATGACCCGCCGCCCAGCAGCACCACTGGACCCAAGGGAAACCCCTCAGCTCTCCCAAAGGTAAGGAGGCTGGGGGATTAAATGTAAAAAAAAACAAAAAAAAACGTGTGTGTGTGTGTGTGTTAGTTTGTGTGTCAGTGAGTGTTACATTGCCCCTAGGGACACCTCCAAGTGGCCACTCCTCAGATGTGACTCCTAAGATGTAACTCATCATAGAACTCCCTGGCAGCCTTATGGTTTAGTGCTATTCAAATATTGGGTTGAAATAAATGCTTCTATAATTTGAAATGCCAAATGGAATAATGAAAAGAAAACACACAAGTACCCAACACAAAACAATCAAACATCCATCAGGCTTTTCTCATGGGGGAATTTCTGGAAATTGCAGTGGGCCTAGCAATCTTCTCTCTATCCCAGGGCTGTCCAACCTGCGGCCCCCCAGATGTTGCTGAACTACAACTCCCATGATTCTTTCAATGAAACAGATAGCCAGGGAATCATGGGATTTGTAGTTCAGCAACATCTGGGGGGGCCGCAGGTTGGACAGCCCTGCTCCAATATTACAATTAAAATAATACTATACTTTAAAAAAAAAAAAAAAAAAAAAATTTTTTGATTGCTTTTACCTAAAAGGTTACTATAACTTTTTTTGAAAGGGCGAACATTTCCAGCGTAATATGTCCTACTGAGCACTGTGGCAGGGCTTGACAAATCCCAGATGCCAGGTCATTATGGCGACCAGGAATGTTGTCCTGGGATTTGTGAGCCGTTCCTTCTGATGTGGGTTGGTAGCTTGCTGCACGTACTGTGGGTGAGTGGTGGACGAGCTGCGCGTACTGTAGGTTGGCGGCAAAGGAGCTGTGATAGTTATGCTCCCTCACATGCTGCTTAGTGATGCCAGGGCCGGAATATGTCATCAACATCAATAAGCAGCTCGCAAGGGAGCAGTGCGATCCCAGCTCCCATGCCGCCTGCCTACAGCACTTGCAGCCAGACGCCCGCCTCCACTCTCCCCCCAGCTGGCGGCTCACTGGACCCCAGGGAAAACTGAATCACTCCAGCTCTTTCAAAGGTAGGGAGGCTTGGTGGAATAAAATTTAATTAAAGCAAATAATAATTTGTGTGTATCTGTATGGGACAGAGTGTGTGTGTCTGTCAGTGTGTGTATCTGCCTGTCTTTCCAATAAAATTGGTTACAAAGCACATGGACTTTCCAGAATCTCTTGGCAAACATCACTTCGTAACTCACCATTCTGCAGAATGTTAAAGGATCACTATAGTGTCAGGAAAACAAAGCGGTTTTCCTGACACTGTAGTGCCCCCACCCTCAGGGTCCCCTTCCCGTGGCGCTGAAGGGGTTAAAACCCCTATAGCAGCATACCTTAATCCAGCGCCGGGCTCCCTCGGCGCTGGTGACCTCTCCACCCCCGCCGACGTCAGCTCCCCCATACAACGTCAGCGGAGCCGAATGCGCATGTGCGGCAAGTGCCACGCACGCATTCAAAGTGTCCATAGGAAAGCATTTCTCAATGCTTTCCTATGGACGCTCTGCGCGATGGAGGTATAATATCCAGAAGACAGCCACTAGAGGCTGGCGTAACCCCAAATGTAAATATAGCAGTTTCTCTGAAACTGCTATGTTTGCATCTGAAGGGTTAAAACCTGAGGGACTTGGCACCCAGACCACTTCATTGAGCTGAAGTGGTCTGGGTGACTATAGTGTCCCTTTAATTACCATGCCAAATTACACATATGTCCAATAAGATTGATCTTGAATTGCTGTTTTAAAGGGGTTTCTTGCTTTTGCTTTTAATTTTGCACAGAATGGTAGCATTTCACAAATAAAATCACAATTTTGGGCATCAGTGTGTTTTTGTCATAATATTTTTGAGAGGTGTTTTGCCTTTGTTTTACTTTCTCCTTTTTATGTTTGTGGTATAGGCCTTTGAAATCCCAAAAGAGGAAGCAGAATGGGTGGGACTGACATTAGAGGAAGCTGTAGAAAAACAGAGACTACTTGAAAAGAAGGTAGGTGGTTTCTGTTTGCTGGCAATATAGCCAATCTGCATTTCTCAATGCGTTTTGATGGTTTTAAAAAAGTGTAAAATGTGTGATTTTAAAAAAGTGGATTGCCCCAGCACCAATCCAACATCTTTGGCATGCATGCCTTCTGGAGAAGATCTTCCATATCTCAGGATCCCTCTAGTTGGGCAACGTTAAACTTCTCTCCATTGTAGGTGATGTCAGTGCGGCGAAAGTAACCTTGCCACTGGTTTTTGGAGGGGCCTGTTTGCCAGCCTCTTGCCCTGCGACTATGGCCCTGGGATGTATTTCCCTTCTAGAAACTGATGTGGGCATATTGTATTTTATTATGCTGCTGCTGGCCCTTTAAGAACCATCTGGGGACATACTGTGGAGTTACTGGGTGGCCACCATTTCATGTATCAGAGGCACATGGTGAAAACAATGGATGGCGGCCATTTTAACTCACAGACACTGTTTGGACTTTTCTACATGGTGCCATCTCGCTGGTATTTGGTGCACAAAGACATTGTGCAGTAGTTTTAAACTATACAACAGGGGACACATTATACAGTAATTATTTTTCATATAGCCTGTATATGTTCTGCGGAATCTGCATTAAAGGACCACTATAGTGCCAGGAAAACATACTCGTTTTCCTGGCACTATAGTGCCCTGAGGGTGCCCCTACCCGCAGGGACCCCCTCCCGCCCGGCTCTGGAAGGGGGAAAGGGGTAATAACTTACCTTTTTCCAGCGCTGGGCGGAGAGCTCTCCTCCTCCGATCCGCCCCGCCGGCTGAATGCGCACGCGAAAGCTGCGGCGCGCGCATTCGTCGAAGAAAGCATTCATAATGCTTTCCTGTGGCTGGCGTGCTCTCACTCACGGTGAGAACGCAAGCGCCTCTAGTGGCTGTCAATGAGACAGCCACTAGAGGATTAGGGGGAAGGCTTAACCCATTCATAATTATAGCAGTTTCTCTGAAACTGCTATAATTATGAAAAAATGGGTTAACCCTAGAGGGACCTGGCACCCAGACCACTTCATTAAGCTGAAGTGGTCTGGGTGCCTAGAGTGGTCCTTTAAACTGTATCTTCCATACTACTGAACGGATCTGGGTGAATTTGGGATATGTGGTTCACCCAGATCCCCCGGTTCCGATATACTTTTTATGGGGTTATTGCATGTTCTGGAGTCCCTGTGATATGTTTTATAATACTGTATTTCTCTGCCTAATTAGATTACCCATTGTGTTCAGTAATCATATCACAGGCAGAGGGGAGGATTTTGTGTGGGAGTGTCTGTGTGTATTGTACGGATTGATTGGTTGTATTTCAAAACCCTGTGGGCAGTACTATGTTTGTGGATTGTGAATAAAAGAGGCTGTATGTGCCAGTAAAGTCAGTTCTGCTTGACCTCACAACGAAGTGTCGTCTCGTTATTGGGGGAATTGGATTGTATGCTGATTGCCAGGAGTGTAAGCTGATTGTATGCTTTTCCTGTTCAGCTGCTTTCAGCATTCATATGTTTGAGAGCATTTGTATGGTTGTGGTGTCTGTTGCAGTGCTTGGAGTCCTCAGAAAGCGCTAGGAGCATCCTTCAACGGAGGTACCTAGTCGGGGTGCCAGGTGATCCGTTACAGTCAGTAACTTGTGATTTGAGGTTATCTTAAAGCAGCATCATGGCCGCATCATAATTTTTTTTTTTTTTAACCCCCTCCCTCCTGACTCCAGTACTTCTAATTGCCCCCCTAGCAACCAACAAATGCCCCTACGCACCCATATTACCTATTTTTTTTTCCTAGGTCCTGGGCACAGCCATCTTTGTGTGGGCAGTTGAAGGCCCTGTGGGACACATCATCTGCCCACACTAGATAGCGCTGTAAAATTCCCGTCCATTTTTGGGGTTGTTAAAAGGTTTTAGAAAAAAGAACACTTCAAATGGCAAGTATTTTTTTTTATTTACAGGTATTTCGTTTTATTGTTCCTCCATCACTATTTTTAGGGTGAGGCGGGTAGGTAGGGCTTTATTATATTTTTTCTGGATGGAGGGGTGACTAGGGACTTGGGAGGGGTGTATTTTTTTTCATTTAGCCCACACCCGTCGCACATGGGTGGGGGCTGGTGGGAACAAAAGGTCCTCCTCCCATTGTCTTTTATGGCCCCCACCCGCCACTTATGTCCCCCATTTAGTTGAATAGCCCCCACTCGAGGGGGCGGGGGGGACACTGTCACACCTGCTAGTTAATAGATGGGGGTGGCTTTTTTTTTTTTTTTTTTTACAGCAGTGAGCAGCCACAGCATCGTGAGTAGGGGCAGTTTCCCTTATCTACGAATAGTAAATAATTTTCCTTATTATTAGTAAAGTTGGCTGAAAGTTCCATCTTGGTCTTTCATCCTTTTGGTAGATAGCTACCTGATTCCCATGGTATTAGGGAGCTATCTGCTAAGCGGCTAAAAGATGCAGCTGTGGCAGATTGGAATTTCATTCATTCAAACCAAGTTAAAAGTAAGGTCATGCTAACAAGAATAGACAAACAGGAAGTGGGTCAAAGCCGGTTAAGCATAGGAAATATACAAAGGACAAAGTTGTCCCTACTTTGTCTTATGTTTTACAGAAAACTAGATCAGATAGGAAGAAAATAAGAACAGATCCCGAGAGAAGAGGAAGCGATTAGGGAAAGAAAAGTTCGGCATCACAGTGCCGCTTTAATATACTAAATCCCAAGATCAGGCTTCAAAGATTACTTTTAGTCCTCTGAGCTCATCAAACATGTGACCTCTTCTTTCTCATTGTTATTCTTTGGCTTTTTTTTTCGTCATTGACCCGTGCGCAATTTTCATTTCACCATAAATTTGTTTTTTCTTTCTTTTTTTTTATTTTAACAAATCAATTACTTTAATCTAATTTCATACATCTATATCCATTACGCTATTCTCAGACATATTAGTCACATTTTTACATTGATTAAATATTTTACTGAATTTTGCTAACGGAAAGGGGGTAAAGAAAATCAATCTGGTTGCAAATTTTGTTTTTTTGCATCACATAGTGTTGGCATTAATGTTCATAACAATTATACGCAGATGTTGGGATTTTTCCACAGGGAGTGACTAAGCCAAGTTCTCTGGATTACTAGACTGGGACACCTGTTTTTCTCTGGAATTAAAAGCACATTGATGAATAGTAGTGTTGAAGCAAAGATGCCTAAATGCTGTACCTAAACCTCTAGTTGCCAGAATAGCTGATTCCTCTGGCAGTGAAACAGTTGAAACTGATCTATTATATATCCTCCACCACTCAATTTCAGACTTGTGATATTTTAATATTTCTCTCACCTCTTCTCTGGAAGATTCTGCCAGCCCCATGTCCCTAGTCTGCCCGCAACACTCTCAGGAAATGAGTGGGAAGGAAGGGGATCTTCTGTCAGATGTTATCTGGTGACCACGCCATGGTCCGTATTGAGTGTGAGGTCCAGCACGTGCTGTGCCCAGGATCCCCTGATTTACAATGCGCTCTATTGCTCCATTTGTGCATACAAGTCAGCCAAGCGCTTGATACTGCAATGTGATTGCGTTCATACATATTTAATGAAAGGAGGAACTTTCATTTCTTATTCACAAGTATTCCAGGCATGCAATTTGTTTGCCACTTTAGGCATGGAAAAGAATGACTGAAATACTGTTAGACAAGGAGGCTCTTTGGAGGAAGGGACAAGTTTTTCTTTTGATAGATAGATAGATATATATATATTATATTATATATATTTATTACTATTGCCATTTATGTAGCGCCAACAGATTCCGTAGTGCTTTACAATATTATGAGAAGGGGGGGATTTAACTATAAATAGGACAGTAACAAGAAAACTTACAGGAATGATAGGTTGAAGAGGACCCTGCTCAAACGAGCTTACAGTCTATAGGAGGTGGGGTATAAAACACATTAGGGCAGGAAATAGCAATCAAATAAGGTGGGAGTGAAGCAGAGCTTGAGGAGAGAGTAATGTGCTGCTCTTTAGGAGAGAGCAGGTTACTCTGGGATGCCATAAGCTTTGAATGAATATATATATTCATTCATCTGCCCTGGGCCACCGTAGCAGATATCATAGTTCTCAGTTGAAGGGACAGGTAATGGCACCGCTCATTGAATTTCCCTTTTCTGTACAATTTTAAGGGTAGGCAAATTCGGCCTCTCTTGGTCTTTCCCATTTACCTAACTTTGACTACAACACACCTTCAGTATCCTTTGCTAACTTGGATCTGAGATGCTTACAAGGGTACTCAACTGACCTACTGTCCTTGGTACATACGTGTAGGTCACTCTTAAAAACACTTCCTTGTTTCACAATGCATCTTTACTACTATAGGGTAATGACTCTGTTACAGTTAGTTCCCTTTATTTCATACTTGCATGTCTGTTCTTTTCCACATTTTCCACCTAAGGGAGATAGCACCTAAAATTAGGACACTGAGGGCAGTGCCCCAAGATACAGGGAATAGCAAGGTGGCAATTCCCTCCAGGTACACATTGGTTGACTAAAACTCTTCTTTTGACATATTCCAGTGTTATACAATTTACAGAAAACACAGTAGGGTTTAGCCTGTTACCACAGTTGTCACATAATGGTCCTTTGTCTTTCATTGTTCATTGATATATCGATTGACCTGTCCCTCGATTCCTGGTTCCATTGTGTGTGTCTGGCAAGTTTATTTATTATTATGCTTAAAACTATTACATCTGAATATCCAGTTCTGTTTGTGGTGTTCATCTTTTTCTCAGTGGTTGAGAACTGTCTTGCGGATGCATTATGCCATACAAGCTTCGGCAGCCATGTCAAAGTACATAAATGGCCATTCTTTGTAAAACGGGTCGCAAAGGGGTGAAAGGGGAACATTGATTCCCAGGATTTATTATATACATAGTCACCTAGAGAAATATATATCTTTGAGCTCTGAAAATTACAATCCACACCACTGTATTTAGCGGTGTCATGAAAATGAGCGACTCCATCCTGACATTTTGTCAATCATTCTTAAATCATAAACTCTGCTAATTGCACCTGGCACTCAGCATACACAGAGGTGAAACAGAAAAAACATGTTTGTGTCTCCCCCAAAAAGCAGTGTGCCCTGGCTTTGCCTGGACTGAACTTGATTGAGATATCCAGCACAAAAGCTGTAATTTACATTTAAATGAAAATTGGATATCACATGAAAAAAAATGGCCAACTTGATTTTATAGGTTGCCATAGAAATTGAGTTTCCCCCCTTAAACACAGTTTTACTTTTTATGTAATGCATCTCCTTTTTTTTTTTATTTATTTATTTATTTATTTTTATTTATTTATTTTTTACTCTGCTCATATTCTGCTAATTATAGATGGTTTTGAGAAATAAAGTAAGTAAATGAAAAATGTGTTTAACTGGTCTTTGTTATAAGGTTTAATATTTGTTGTTTACTGTTTTTATATTATATTATTGTGATGTTATTTGAGTTCAGACACCATAATCTCACAAGTTTGTTGCATGTCTTTCACTCATTATAGGACCCCACACCTCTTTTTAAAGAATTTGTGGATGAACTGGTTCAGGAGATGGCAGCTCAGAAGCTTGAAGAAACCATACCCAATGAAACAAAATCCTAACCCTTGCTAAATGTTCTACTGTAACTATACAACATTCTATTTTGGAAGGGGTTTATGGGACATGTTACAAACCTATTTCAAGAATCCACATCACTCCTGCATTAACAAGACTGGAATTAGCACTCATTGGAAACAATACTGATGTTAATTTGGTAATGGCAGTGTCATAGATCAACATAATGCTACTCAGCTGGTGAAATACGTTTTTTACGGCTCTAAAAGCAAGCACCAATAAAGCATCTAGTTACAAAAATCCTACTAAGTATCTACAACATTAAAATGTGTTTGATATATTATGCACCTCCTCTAGTGACTAATTTCCATCATCATTTGCTATGTCCTAATGTCTAGAAGTTAAGTTACCACTGAAATTCGTTTTGAACCAAAATGTGTTGCCCTCAGTTTAAGAGCCAGTGTTGGACATGCCTGAAGCCATATTATGAGACTCTCAAGAAGCAAACTTATCAAATGATGATCTTCCAAACATACCATATATATTTGCTATAGTATATTCCAATTTTGAAATAAACAAAGTGTGTGTGTCCGTCCCCCTCCACTAGAGTTAACATTTAAAACCTTTAGACTGTCTGATACATTTCTGGCACCTCTATCGTTTTATTTAAATATGAGCAGATTGGTAAACCTCTTACTTTTGCGTCCATTTAGCAGTTGTGTGTTTTACAGATCACGAGTGTATGTAGTTGTGCATCTGTCATACATTATGGTGTGATGTCACCCTGTGCAATAAAACCATGTTTTAGTGTAAGCAACCCAGTTTCTCAAGACATATGTTAGTGCAGCACAGGATCATGGCCAGGTTACCTAGTATTGATGACAATCACACTCCTGGGAGGCTGGTCACCTTCTTTTATTCCTATGCTGACAAGCTGCGGTGAAGAGAGACTGCATGTCTCACTATCCTCCGCATGTTGCATAACATATAAGTAGTGGGAAATTGACAGAATTATTGTAAGCAGCTGCAAGGGTGGTTTTCATATATACCTCAGTGTTGCACTAAAATGGAAGGCATGTGAGCCTTAGCAATTTTGTGTGTACTTGTCTGTGTGTGAGTGTTTGTATGATTGCCATCCTCAGGAATGGTAGGGAAATAGACAATATATGGCACTACAGCTGCCGTAGAAAAAAGGCATTTATAAACTACTTATCCTCTTGTATTTTGTTTCCGGAACCCCTGTACCTCAATTGATTTTTTTTTTTTCCCTCTAATACAGTCCTAGATAGCTGTATATTTGTTATATATACTTTAATTATAGAACGGTAAAGAAGATACTAGACCCAAACTGGTAACTTATATGTCAGAACCGAACTACACCCTGTTCCAAATAATTATGCAAATTCTATTTAAGTGTCACAAAGATTAAATATTTTGTTGTTCAGTTTAACATGGATGGCATTGTGTGTCAGGGCTCTTTTGATCACTGAAAACAATCTCGGACATCAGTGATAATTAGATTGCCAGGTGAGCCCAATTTAAGGAAAAACTACTAAAGGAGGGTGTTCCATATTATTAAGCAGAGCACCATTTTCATGCAATATGGGGAAGAAAAAGCATCTCTCTGCTGCCGAAAAGAGTGAAATAGTTCAATGCCTTGGACGAGGTATGAAAACCTTAGATATTTCACGAAAACTTACGCGTGATCCTTGCACTATTAAGGGATCTGTGGCTGATTCAGAGCACAGATGGGTTTGTGCAGATAAAGGCACATTGAGGAAGATTTCTGCCAGATCCATGCATCTGATCAAGAGAGCAGCTGCTAAAATACCATTACATAGCAGCAAACAGATATTTGAAGCTGCTGGTGCCTCTGGAGTCCCACAGACATCAAGGTGTAGAGTCCTCCATAGTCTTGCAACTGTGCATAAACCTTCCATTCGGCCACCACTAACCAATGCTCACAAGCAGAAATGGCTGCATTGGGCAGAAAAATACATGAAGACTAATTTTCAAACCGTCCTATTCACTGATGAGTGCTGTGCAACCCTGGATGGTCCAGATGGTTGGTGGACGGCCACCCTGTTCCAACAAGGCTTCGACGTCAGCAAGGCTGTGGTGGAGTCATGTTTTGGGCCGGAATCATGGGAAGAGAGCTGGTCGGCCCCTTTAGGGTCCCGAAGGTGTAAAGATGACCTCTGCAAAGTATGTCGGGTTTCTGACTGACCATTTTCTTCCCTGGTACAGAAGGAAGAACTATGCTTTCCGTAATAAAATCTACATGCATGACAATGCACCATCTCATGTTGCAAAGAATACCTCTGCATCAATGGCTGCTATGGGGATAAAAGGAGAGTGTGTCATGGTGTGGCCTCTGTAGCGGATGGTATTAAGGCTGTCCTAAAAGACTGTTAAAACTGCAATTCGTGTGTTTATTCTTCTGTGTAGTTAAAACTATATGTAATATTCGTATGTTTGTTCGGTAGTTTCCATCCGTATTCCATACGAATGAAAACTACCGAACCCATAGACCACCCCAGAGAGAAGTGTGCACCTTATTAGGTACTTTGTGCATGTATCTGGGTGGCCGCCGTTCGGCATACGAACACGTGGCGGCGGCCGCCATCTTACGCACGAAAGCCTCAGCGGTGTTTGGTTGTCGAGTGTCTGGAACTCAAATCGGACACTCAATTACCCGAACACCGCTGAGACCTCTAGAGCTCCGTAACTCCCGAACGGGAAGGCAAATCAGACCCCCGTTTGGTAAGTTAAAAGTACCGAACAAGGGGACTCATGCGAATGCAATGTTTATCGTGGATGTCAGGTTTTTATGTGTGTTTTACCTCCCGAAGGGAGACCGACCGCAGGGCCAAAACACATGGAACCCTTTTCGGCTAACACATCATGTGCGGTCGGTCAAATTGTCCCTTCCATGTAACTCACGAACCCCTGGTCTGATCTGGGTGAATTTTGCATATGTTGGTCACCCAGATCAGGGCTACCATGTGGTGCCACTTAGCCCTTGTACCTAACTGTTTTGGGGTACATCCAGAACTCTGGGAAAATTGCAGCAGATATAATGGGATTATGTGTCACACTGAGGGGAGGAGATGTCTGGGAGGTAACTGTGACATTATTGGTTACTGTCCTAATTATGATGAATCCCTCCCTTGCATGGGAGAATGCTTTATAAGGAGGTTGTGTGGATTAAAAGTGAGTTCTGCTCCTGATGCTGTGTCGTCCAGTCATTGGGATCAGTATGGGGATATTCGTGATTTACCTTGTTTGCTGGAATTATTACTTTATGGTATTTTTACTACTTGTTCCTGAGCCTCACTGGGATGTTTAGTGGAGTTAACCTGTGGAATACCAGGCCTCCGCTACAGCCTCAATCCTCCCCTGACGTCAATCCTATTGCGAACCTTTGGAGCATCCTCAAGCAAAAGATCTATGAGGGTGGGAGGCACATCCAAACAGCAGCTCTAGGAGGCTATTCTGACATCTTGCAAACAAATTCAAGCAGAAACTGTCCAAAAACTCACAAGTTCAATGGATGCAAGACTTGTGAAGCTGCTATCAAATAAGGGGTCATATGTTAAAATGTAATGTGACTTGTTAAAATGTTTAAAAAGTTAAAATGTTGTTATAAGTTTGATTGAAATAGCTTTTGATTTCGGTAAATATGCTTTCAATAAAACAAATGACAATTTTCAGTTCTTTACAACTTATAAACTTACTGTGCGTAATAATTTGGAACAGTGCATTGTAAGTTTTTTATGTTTAAAAAAAAAATTACTGTTATCATTAGGAGGTTTGTTCAATAAAATTTGAATTGTACCCTTAATAGTTGAGAACATGAGAATTATGCTGACTGTTATTTACATCAATTATTTAGGTAAATGAGAAAAATATCATTTGCATAATAATTTGGCACAGGGTGTATATGAGATTTGATGTGTAATGGGGTGAAGCATGTATGTATGCATGTGGGGGTGAAGAGATGATGTGTGGGAGGGGTGCATTGTGTGTGTATGCCAAGTTGTACTCTGTGTTGATGGGAGTGTACTGTATGTGGGGGGCTTTACTGTCTGTGAGGGTGTACTATGTTCAGGGGGGTATAGAGAGTGGGATAGGGAAGAGCTTTACAATTTTTACTTTATTAATTGTTTAAAAAAAAAAAAAAAATATTCCCCTTTCCCTAAACTTGCCTTGCAAGGAAGGGGTGGCACAATCAAATCCGTGGTGGTTGACAAGTCTGCCTATCCATTGGGTACAGGAGAGGTCATGAAATGAGCGGTATCTCTCTTGGAGCTCCAGCACTTACACAGACTGACCCATACACATACACAGACATGCCTCCCCCCCACACACACACACACACAGACTGACCCATACACAATAGATTGACCTCCTACACACAGACTGACCCTCCACACACACAGACTGAACCCCCACCTCCACGCACAGACTGACTGCCACACACACAGGCTGACCCCCCACACCCATACACACACACACTGATCCACACACAGACTGACCCACACACACAAACAGACCCCCACAGATGCAGACTGAAACCTCCCCACCTTCACACATGGACTGATCCCCACACAGACTGGCCCATATACACAAAGTGACCCCCACACAGACTGAACCCCCACCCCTACACACAGACTGATCCATACTCATACACAGACTAAGCCCCACACACAGACTGCCCCCCGCCCCAGACTGAACCACACACAATGACTCACACTTACCAGAAGCTGCATCTGTGCAGAGCTGAGCTTCCTCTCCCTGTTTCTCCCCTGCGCTGCTCTCTATGACCCAGGAGGAAGTCCTCCCAGCACAGTGCCCCCTCTGGCTGCATTTGGGAAAAGGGTGGAACATAGTTCCACAGTGATAGCACTGCTGCAGCTTGTGAATGGAAACTCAGTGCCGCAGACTTTAAATTTTAATGGGGGGGGGGAGGGGCTCTGCCTCCTCCCCAGCCCCCTCCCCAGTGACGCCACTGATTTCAGTACACTCTGCACAATAATGGGGGCTCTGTAATATTCCGGTACGCACTGCACAATACTGGGAGCTCTGTAGTATCCCATACACACTGCACATTACTGTAGGTTTTGTAGTCCCACACTGTAATAACACAGTATACAATGCACTTTACCAGAGGCTCTGTAATTCCTTATACACACTGCACATGTCAGTTGCCCCCACTCCCATCTCGTTATATTTTCCCATTTACAGTATAACTCACCCACCGCTGGCTCAGTTTGGAGTTGTATTCCACAAAAGCATGTTATGATATTGTCTCAAGTTCTCAACCACTGCAGCTCCTTTGGCTTGAAACTCTCATCCAACTCAGCCAGATTCAGGCTCAGCAAGATGACAGCTGTAGATCACAGAAGGGAGCATTACAATGGAAGGGGCATCTCATACCTTCCAAGTGTCCCTATTTTAAGCCAAATTTCTTCTATCCCACTTTTATATCCTAGTGTCCATCTTGTCAGAAGCTCCATATTGTTGGTGTGCAATAATATTCAGAGTAATGTGTCTTTAAATTACAATAAATATGTTCAGAAATCAGACTGTGTGAATAAAATACATTGTTCTTGTTCTAAATTACATTTTAATTGCATAAATTATTAGTAAGTCACCTAAAAAAAATTCAGAACAACACTGCCACTGGCCACACCTGTTCTCACACCCATCTGTGTAATCTGAAATATCGGGAGGTATGCTGTAGTTAATAGTGAGTAATAGTTATTTTCCTAATTTATCATGTGGTGGCTGTATACTTCCCCTCCCTGCAGTCTCCAGCAGCATGTCCATATCACATCATCATTGATACAAGCGCTCTGATTGGCTGCAGACTGCACAGACATCTTATGACATCAGAGGGCTAGTCATAGTCTGAAACTCACAGACATATGAAACTCACACTGATCTCATAAATGAGTGGAGGGAGGATCCAGCTACAAGACTGACAGGATTGCTCTGATCTCAACATGAGGACAGGGAGGAGCCAGCTGCAAAATTGACAGGTTCACCTAGCTCTCAATCATGAAGAGAGGGAGGAGGAAACTGCAAGATTGACAGGTTAGTCAGTACTGTGGGTCTATAATAGCAAGATGGGCCTGGAGCAGCAGCGCTACACTCCCCTATGTTAAAGGGACACTATAGTCACCTGAACAACTACAGCTTAATGTATTTGTTCAGGTGAGATCTATAGCTCCCTGCAGGCAATCTAATGTAAACACTGTATTTTCAGAGAAAATACAGTGTTTACATTGATTGATAGGAATACCTCCAGTGGCCGTCACTCAGACGGCCACCAGAGGGACTTCCTATCATGTATGGCCCTAAAAAGGCCATGTACACGTCAGATGTATTAAAATACGTCTGACGTGTGCAGGAGAGAGAAGGCACTGTGTGCGCGCCTTCTCTCTGCCTGTCAGCAGAGGAGAGGGGGCGGGCAAAGACCATTAGCTGAGCTGTCAGCGCGGTAGTGTGCTCAGGACTTCATAGGGCGGCATGAATGCCGCCCTATGAAGTATGTGCGCAGGTGGCGAGGCTTCACGAGGCTCCCGGCGATGGAACCAGGTGAGTAAAAAGTTCTGCCTGGAGAGTCCCTTTAACCTGGGATTGGTTGTAATGCTACGTAATGTTACTTGATGGGAAAAATTTATTCTTTTTAAAGTTTTTAATTTAAAAAAATGTTCATACTAACTCTTTGTTAAGTATACATTTAGGAAGTTAAAAGAAAGTAATTTCTGTTCATTACCAAACAATATATAATATGTTTGGTGCACTTAACCCCTTAAGGACAGAGGCAATTGTACTCTGATCAAAACGAAACAAACAAAACCTAGTATTTGTGTTAAATGTCTGCTCAACCATAACTCACCTCTTTCATATTAAGTGCACCCACACTTATTATATATACTTTTGTTCAGGAGGAACAGGGCTTTCATTTCAAATATCAGGGCCACCCAATGGTTATGGATTGTAAGGGGGCCCGGTCAGCGCTGGGCGCTTTTACATCACACAGAGCTGGGAGGAAGTGACCGCACGTCACTCCTCCCAGCTAACACAGAGCGCGTGGGAGGAAGCAGAGGGAGTCAGAGTGGGAACTCTGACTCACATCCACCTGAGCCACCACTGGACCCCAGGGAATGTCACCCTCCTGCACCTAAAAGGTAGGAAACAGGAGGGTGACTAAAATATTTTGTGTGTTTGTTTGTGTGTGTGTGTGTGTCTGTCTGTATGTGTGTATGTGTCTTTGTATGTATGTGTGTCTTATGTATGTATCTTTGTATGTATGTATGTGTGTCTTTCTATGTATGTCTTGTGTGTATGTCTTGTGTGTCTTGTCTTTGTATGTATGTGTTGTGTGTGTGTGTGTATGTGTGTACGTACGTGTCTTTGTATATATGTCTTATGTGTGTGTCTGTATGTATGTGTTTATGTGTCTGTATGTATGTATGTGTCTTTGTATGTATGTGTGTCTGTATGTTATAGTGGGCTACAGTAAGTAATAGTAAGTGGGCTACCTAGCTCAGCCTTCCTACTGGGCATTGCTATAAGGAAGGTAAAAAAATAGAAAAAAGGGAAAAAAAAGGTGGGGAGGGGAATTGAGGAGGGGAGCTGATGCACAAATGAGAAATTATATTATGAGCAAGCAGAGAAGTTGTCTGAATATCACCAAAAGAGGAGACCTCTGTTTGTTCCTTACGAAAATCGAACCAGATATCAAATATTTAGTCTCACAGCATCAACCTCAAGGATCTCATTAACCCCTTAAGGACGGAGCCAAATGTACACATTGTGAACAAAACAAAATGTAAACAAAACCTGGCATTTGCGCTACATGTCTGTCCAACCGTAATACACCTCTTTCATAGTGAATGCACCCACCCTTATTATATATAATTTTATTCAGGGGAAAAGGGCTTTCATTTAATATCAAATATTTAGCTTGAAACATAATTTAATATGAAAAAAATGGGAGAAAATACGTTTTTTTTTGGATTTTTTTAGTTCTACATGACATTTTAACGGTCAGTGTCATAATACTGTTTGCTTTTACTGCAATAAAATACACATATTTGTATTCAGTAAAGTCTCACGTGTAAGACAGTACCCCCTATGTACAGGTTTTATGGCGTTTTGGGAAGTTACAGGGTCAAATATAGCACGTTACATTTGAAATTGAAATTTGCCAGATTGGTTACGTTGCCTTTGAGACTGTATAGTAGCCCGGGAATGAAATTTACACCCATATTGGCATACCATTTGCAATAGTAGACAACCCAAGGTATTGCAAATGGGGTATGTCCAGTCTTTTTTAGTAGCCATTTGGTCACAAACACTGGGCAAAGTTAGCGTTAGTATTTGTTTGTGTGTGAAAAATGCAAAAAATGCCCAATTTTGGCCAGTGTTTGTGACTAAGTGGCTACTAACAAAGACTGGACATACCCCGTTTGCAATAACTTGGGTTGTCTACTATGCAAATGGTATGCCATCATAGGAGTAATTTTCATTCTTGGGCTACCATAGAGTCTCAAAGGCAACGTAACCAATCTGGCGAATTTTAATGTGAAAAAAATGAAACACAAGCCTTATATTTGACGCTGTAACTTTTGAAAACACCATAAAACCTGTACATGAGGGGTACTGTTGTACTCGGGAGACTTCGCTGAACACAAATATTTGTGTTTCAAAACAGTAAAAAGTATCACAGCAATAATATTGTCCGTGTAATGCTGTTTGTGCGTGAAAAATGCAAAAAACGTCACTTTTACTGGCGATATCATCGTTGTAATACATTTTACTGTTTTGAAACACTAATATTTGTGTTCAGCGAAGTCTCCCGAGTAGAACAGTACCCCCCATGTACAGGTTTTATGGTGTCTTGGAAAGTTATAGGGTTAAATATAGTGCTAGCAAATTAAATTCCCTTTACTTTCGGCATGGGTTGTCAGGCAGGTCCCGCTAATTGTAATTAATTAAGATACCTAATTATGTAAAAATATTACATAAATATATATGTAGAATTAATATATGTATATATATATATATATATATATATATGTATATATCTATATAATTTTTTAAATATTTTTATTTATATATAGGTATATATAGTGATATATACACATTATATATTTATGTATATGAATATATATTATTTCGTTCTACGTGTATTTTGATATATATATATATATATTAATTTCTAAAACAGTTAGAACAAATAACACACATCTATATATTTTTTAATTATTTATTTTTTAATTATTTTTTTAATTTTATTTTTTAGCATTATTTACATTTTTCATTTTTTTTTTTTATATTATATATAAATACTTATATATAACAATAATTATATATATATTTAATCAGTATCAGTCTAAATTAATTTGATATTAATATATATATATAGTACCATATATATTAATAGTAAAATACACCTAGGCAGTAACGTAATGTGTATTAGCAATAGCCTTATGTGTATATATATACTTTGATCATATATATATAATATATATATATATGATCTAAGTATATATTATTTATTTTTTTACACTATTTATTTATTTCATTTTTATTTTCAGCCAGCAGGGGACCACCTGTCATTACAGGCAGCCCCCCTGCCGGCAATACAGAAGCCAGCTATCCCCGGCCATGTGATTGTGGGGTCCTCGCTAGGACCCCACTCTCACATGGCCGGGGGGCTTCAACTAGGACGGATGTGCAGCGGGGGGCTCCCTGGGAGTCCCCCCCACCGCGATCGCCGGCGTGGGACCGCCGGCGACCGGGTAAGTTAACAAAAACCGGAGGGCGTACAATTACGCCCGGCGGCGTTTAGAGCCGCCTATTAGAGGGCGTAATTGTACGTCCTCCGGTTTTAAGGGGTTAAAACAGATGAGACTCTAGCTGAAATTATCCCTGACAAACCACGTTATACCCCTATAAAAATATAGTACCCCTTCTCGTAGCCCTT